ATTTGCCGAAATTTCAAAAAAAAAACGTCCGAATCTACACCCTCGATGAAAAGGTTGCATTCCTCCATTTCACAACCTTTGAAGCAGCTTGAGGTAGAGTTAGATAGAGCTGGATTTCGCGTTTCCAACAAGCATCGAAATTGCTCTGGAAGCCTTCCTTGCAGAAAGATAGGGTCTGTCAAATTTCGTCGAGTAAATGTCGAGGAGGCCGAAATTTTCACGCGAGTTTTTGCCACTTCAAGAGCAATATATCTCTTATATTGTAAGATCCTGAAAAAGGGAAGATAGTTTTGGAAAGCGGAAGGTTTGCGCTTCCTGATGGTCTGTTTAGTTTTCTTCTACAGCTTTTTGGTTGAAGAGATAATTGCGTCGAGGATCTATCGAGGTCGGATCCGGCCACCTGGAAATCCGCTCCCTCATTCACCATTGCAAGTGTGACTCGTTGGCAACACTCGGAATGTGTCTAGAACAATATCTTTGAACGCAAACAATAAGAATAGGAGCAATCGTCATCATCCGATTTGGTATTGGTATAAGCCATGCATCCCTCCTCCACTCACAGTTGCAGAATCGATTGAAAGGTGTTATATGATGGGGACCTTCGAACGAAACTGTATTGTAGTAGACATAGTGTGTTGTGCTATTCCTGTAACCTAAAAAACAACTTCATTTGCCCAGCGCTTTTTCTTCACGGTTGTCGTTTTTCCGACAGGGTCCCTAACAACAGCGTCATTCTCAGCGAGGTATTAAGGGAGAAGGAGCGAGTGATAGGCGGAGGAGGTGCCTTTGCAGCGCGTGCGCACATGTGGCACTCTTCTTTGCGGGGATGCACTTTCATTCTTTGTACTGCCTTCAAATACGCCCTTCTTATTTTCAATGAAAAAAAAAGGAATACGAAGTTATTACGGAAGGTGGAGGAATGGAGCGACTGAACCTGCAAAGAAAATTTAATATCATGTTTTTTTTCGGATGTTTTCATTTTCTGCTGCGCTATACCCTATTACCTATCTGCACCATGATACCACTTCTGTTACTGACCCCCAAGAGTACGACCCCCCATGGACCAGCCCAACAGGTACGACCCCCCTGTCGAGGATTTCCTCGACCGATATTCACCCTGGCGGAGAGCACTGCGTGTGAAGGCACGCCCGAGAGATCGCGATAAGGTTGGAAATCACGCTTCATTTCGTTGAGTTCTGGGCCGTTTCTCTTGATTTTTTTTTCACCCCGGTCTCACTGACCGCCTCAACCCTCACTTATACTTTGAATGGAGGTCTATTTTATGGTGAGCCCAGAAAAATGAGAGAGGATCAAAACATAGTAGATGGCGCCAACTACCGCAGACATGGTTCAGGGCTCAACTTAAAGGCAAAAGTCGGGCTCAATAAGGGGGTATTATGGCGATTGAAACTGAGTATAGAGATGCGAAGTGGAACGACAGTGGAGAAAAAACTGAGAAAAACCGTCGACAAGGCCGTTAACAAAACCCTCTTTCCCACTAGCAGTGAAGGAGGCTGGCTTGGGAAAGAGGCACGTACAAACAAGTTTTCTGGAGATATCAGTCGTTCTATCGGTTGATACGGCAATCAACCTAGCTGATCTCACACGTTATGCCAGCCACGCACCACATCCCATGGTGGGCGGCCGGAGCGCCTCCAGGCGGCGCGAGCGCTTAATGCATGCCCTGGGGCGTTATTACGGCGCCTTTTGAGATTCTGAGCATGGCAACGTCCCTGTGGGTGCGTAGCCATGCACATAGACGACTAAAGTGATTGGTTTGGTCCACTGAGCCTGACTCGTGGCTTTAAGATGAGTTCACAGCGCCAACGCCAGCCCTGTCATCGGAGAAAAGATGGCCGTAACAGTCTATCCCTGATAACGGCATTAACTTGTACTCCGGCCAGCTTTTGCAAGTCTCCAGTTCAGATAGGAATCAAAAGGCGGTTACAATTTTGACTGAAGGTCATATTCATAGCGCATCTCGAGTAGAAGATTTACCACCGAACCGTTTCCACCTTTCTATGACTTTCTGTATGAAATTTCGCTTTCATAAACCTTTCCCGATTTTGAAGGATGTTTTTGGTCCAAACGACAAATCGGAACAGTTCGAACCTGCTTGGGTCGAAATCCGGTAGATCGTTGTAATTCCTTTGCACTTTATCGGAAATGAACTTCCAGCTGTTCCAATCGATGTGTGGCCTTTCTTCCAAAAATTGTCTGTAGAGGCCGGCGAAATACTTCTGCGTCGACATTTGTCACCTAAATCTGGACCACATAATCTTTTGCAAATTTCATAAGAAATCCCCTATCTTCCTGCTCCTCAGTGTGTGCGTTCGGAATTGATCTTATGACTACTTACTGAGAGAGCTGAAACTTTTTTTTTTAATCTTTATTACTATTTTCCTCAATGCGGCAAAACCGCTTGTCCTCCGAATATCAGTAGCAGTTTAATATATAAGCACGTTTTGAGGCATGATTTACTCTTTACAGTCCTGGGAGCAATATACTCTTTGAAAATATGGTCAAAAATATGTTTCATAAAATAAAATGTAGAGATATAACTCAACATAATTAACAACAAGAATTAATTACAATTAATAACTCAACATAACATAAAATAATTATATTTGTTTTAATTTTCATGGCTAATTATTGTTACAAATTGCTTATTTTATTACTTAATCACGAAATTCATAATATAGCTCGAAAAAAAAGCTCTTGCCTTTTCGTTATTTTAATAACTAAAGAACTCGTCCAGCTTCTGAAGCAGTTCAGCCTTGTTCTCGGATGAAACATTCATTTTTGAATAGATGAGGACTCCAAGACTGAGCCAGTGACGAGCAGGTGATTGATCCACGGAATTCGGGAGGTCGATCGAATGGCCGAAGTTGCGCAGCCGAATAGTCGATGCATTCGTTAGATAATGTCAAGGGCAAGAACCACGTGGATTGCCAGCCCGCTGCTATCCTTCCTTCTTTTATACGAATATTGGTATAGGTATACGGGTTCCATAGCTTCGAAGCTGTATATTTAGTCAGTCAGCTCAGCCAGAAGAAAAGCGGATGGTTTTCAAACACATAACAATTCTCACTGTTTTCGACACGCTGAAAAACTTATCAATTGATTTTTCTTGGTTGCCCATGCAGGAACCGCCTCCCATGACTAACAGGGCAAAAGATGTGAGTGGGAAAATGGTCTTTGAAATGAGATGTATTACATATCAGATGCGTTTCTGACTTCTAAGAGAAGGGATGAAAAAGAAAGAAAGAAGGAGGAAAGCATTGAAAGAGAGGAATTCCGATTTCTCGGGAAGCGCTCTAACCACTGGTGGTTCATCTGCTCAGCCTTGATCTAATTTTGTAGCGTGCGCCTACACATCCGATTTTCGTATAGCATCGTTAAAGCATTTGAATGCGTATGTGGCCCAAACAACAAGTTCCGGGGCCATGTAAGAAAATTTATTCGAAATTTCCGTTGCAGAACGCTAATGCGACAGCACACCGGTAGCGCGACAAACTATGTCTGAAGCATTTCGCACGCCCACAATGGGACATTGTGGCACACCCTAATTTATTTTGCGCACATTTGCGAGGTTCTTCCGCGATATTGGTTTGTGAGCATTTTATAGGCCATACATCAGCAAACCACCAAACACCATTGGTGGCTTACAAGAATGGGCAAATACTTTTTGGGGTTGGAAGAGGTTTCAGACCATACAAAATTGTTCGATTTATTCTTCGTTTTCATTTCATTATCTGACACTCAGATGAAAAAGAAGCTATGAAAGTGAAAGTAAACCTATTCGCATGGCAAATGTATATTTTACTGAGAAAACCACGTCCAAAATAATTTTGAAACTATTAAAGCGAAAGTAAGAAATTTGCATTTTCGTGGCCACAACACGTCATTTTGGACGAATTTCTATTGCTATCATTTCCGATGAGTGAGACGCATCCAACACTACTGAAAACCCTTTGTCGCATCCAACTATCGCGTATTTATGGATCAAAAAAAACGGATTTGATGTGATACGGCTGTGCTAGCAGAATTGCTCTCGTCCAAAAGCGAAAAAAAGCCAAAACACGGGATGTCGCCAACGTGTTAAAGGTAGTACGATGATCTTACGGTTCGTCTCTTACTTCTCGCATCACCACGGAATTAGCACAGTACGTATGACCTCATCTGAGGATGTTGTATTGACGCCTTATTATTAGCGCTTCCGCTACAAAACGTCACCTTCACATCTCTTGCTGGGTTCCTGCCGCAACCAGTGGCTCATATGCTTCCCCAGTGCCACACAATTTATTTGTACCCATAGCCTTAAAGGCAGCGATTACGATAACGAGAGAGCGCATCGGGGAAGCATATGCACCACACGAAGCAGTTACTTGGCTGCCAAGGAGCGAGTGTGGCGCTTTCACACGAAAGGTGCGCTGGTTGCTGAGCAGGACTTCGAAAGCACTCCGCCCCCAAAAGCGATCCGCCCACCAGTTCTTGTTGATTTGGACGAGCTGCGTAGCAGCAGCGGCGCAAATGGAGCATCTCGATTGAAGCGTGATTTGGCAATGGTGCCATCAAACGCGTTGCGTGAACTCGTTCATACGTCCACTTTCTGAGCTGTTACCTGTTCATGAGTGAAAACAACGGCAAAAAAGGGGTTCCCGTTTTGCGATTCTCTTGACGGATTTTTCCGCTTTTGTCGCTACTTTTATTGAGCACATCGACGCTTCCTTTAACCCTTTTCACCATCGTAATCCTGCCTTAAGCGCCACGTTAAATACCACTCGGGGAAGACCTTCTATGTAGCCTCAGCTCTTCCCATGGGTTTGCAATTCCAGATAGAAATGATACGCGCGGCGTAAAAGCATAAAATAATGTATATGTTCGATGCTTTACTACTCCAATCGTTATGTGAAAGAATTTTGCCACTCAACAGAAAGACTAATAAAACGAATATTTATTTTAATACTACAAGAATCGACTTCATACATGCACCCGTGTTAGCATTTTGACAGCAATTTTTTGGCTTCATGTTGCATTTCGCGTTCAGACTCATCGTTAGGTGTTACAGCGAGTAATTTACTAAGGAATTTCTTCGCATTCACCTGAAAAAAAAAGTTTAGCGCGCAATATAGTAAACTGAGGAAGATTAAAGAGAAAAATATCAATCACTTACTTTGTCACCTTTTGCAAGATATATACGTGAGATAAATAGTAAATTCTCTATCCAATCGGGTTTAATTTCATAGGCTGCTAAAAAGTCTTCCAATGCTTCTTCAAACGTGGCTGTAGGAGGTTCAGAGGTAAAACACTGCTGCTGCCTGAACGAAGGAACTTTAGCACCCAAATTTTGGATTACTTAGGAGTAAAGTACTTACTTTCCGTTCTATCCAGGAAAGGCTAGCCACAGAATGGGGCAAATCGTCCACGCCAGATGTAACCACGCAAAATCTTTACTTATCTAACTGCCAATGCTTTTTATCCAGCAACTCCGGAAAAAAACTTTCTTGCGAGTTGTTGTGCTGGTGAGATTGAGATTGCGAGTGTTTTGCGCATAGATGTTGAACGCAGGGTAGATGGGCGTCGTAGCCAACATCAACGACTTACTCAAGCTCCACTGACTCAACGGCGTGTGAGAGCGTGCGATGAGAATGAGTGATCGTTGGGTATTCATTACCCTGGAACGATATATCTTTAAGTGCAAGTTGTGAGCAGAAACGGCTCACTTCCACCACCTCAACTTCCCGTCAAGTTGTGCAGGTAGACGGAATCCCGATTCCGTCTCAAAAGTTCCCTAGTGGGCCACAATCGGAGAAGCCGCTGAGTAGGCGCTGCATAATAATCAAGACTATGTAAAAGCTAAAAAAAAAAAAAAGAAAACGGTCCTGCGAACAGCCTCGAAGCACTACAACATACCATAGAGGTTTATACAAATGAATCCCAAATTCGGCATCTGCTTACAGAACTATAGGTGCTACACAAGTAGGGTGGGCACGCCGCATTTTTTGAACAGAAATGTAATGTAAGTGGGAACTGCTGCCCGCTACTATACTGTCACGAGAATCGTAGGAATTCGTGAGCCAGGGGGAGTGTAGCCAATCTAGGGGGGTGGGGTGAGGGCAGGCACTGCTGCGTGAAAAGCTGGGCGTGCCCACCCCCACTTGTATAGAGCCTAACTGTTTTGGCAGCTGTCATTTGGACCTAGTTTGCCCTGCCCAGTTAACTCGACACTGGTTCTTTGACGTTTAGCCGCTCCTCATCACCTTTATATTCCCTACCAAAATACTACTTCTAACCATCCACAATCACAGCCTATCATATACACGACACTTCCAACTGCTGTGGACAATGAACACAAAAGGACACGGTTAGCCCCTTGAGTGTTTTCACTAGAACCGTAGCAAGGGACACATCCAGCACTATAACCTAGAATGAAAGAAGAGATCAGAAACCTACCTTGAATTTACCTCCTTCTTGGATTCTCTCCTTTGTTCCCAAATAGTCCGTTGACTGTCCAGTCATAATCGCGGCCCATTTCAAAGCATCAAAATCATTTTCATCCGCTTCGTGGCCTTCCAAACCGTATTTCTTGCCTAGAATGGGTGATTTCCTAGGTGAGAAGTGCCTAGCAGGAGGAATTTCGTGAAGCTCAATCATTATTTAAGATCTCAGAAATGGTCTGTACCACGAAATGGAGAAAAAATTTGTGGTGCGAAATCCTTTCACATCTTGTAATTAGAACTCAACGATAACCTCAATTTCTGATCACTTTTTACAGTAAACAGAGCCAGTCCCTTGAGTTCCCTTTCCTCCCTACGAATTTTTAGCAGGATCTACCGACGAAATCTCTTCCTGAGAACTCGAATTTTAATTTACCACGCCTCTCTGTCCCCTACTTTTCTGGAAAGCTTCCACAAACCGTGACTGGGGTGGGGGGGGCGTGTAATGGAACGGGGGGCGAGAAGATTCTAGGGAATGTATACACTTTCCCCAAACCGACCACCACTTCCTCCCTTTGACGACAATCCCAAGCACTCGTCTCCCTCAAACCTCCTTTATCGTCAGCCAAATAGAACGACCACTACCAAGAAACTTCGACCTATACACCTTATTACTAACTATAGGACTTGACAGGTCATTGTAGCGATCACCCTGAAAACTGCTAAAAAGCAGCTGTCACAGATTCATATTCACCGACAAGCAACATTGAAAATCTTTCCAAAAACACCTCCCAGCGTATACTGTTATACCTAATTATTGCGAAAAAAGACAACGGGTTATTGATTAAGTTCACATACCTTCAAAAGATCAGTTCCTTTTTCTTGGTTTTGTCTGTTGTACGACAGGCAAGTTCATGGCAAAATTTAGCCAGCCGCCATAGTACCACGGACGATTTGTCGCCATTTTCGTACCGCTTAAACACTCTCATTAGTAGTCAGTCACCTTACAGACAGCCGAACTTTGTCTCAGCACATACCTTAGAAAAAATGAGGACTTACCTTTTTCAAGATGTCATACCCTGTCGCGGACATTCTCGACACCGAAGTATTGGTCGACTTCAGCAAAGGACTAAAATATCGCGTTGAAGAAAACCTTAGCACATGTTATAGACCCACAGTGAACAAAATACCCTATGTATGTCCATGGGAGCGTTTGTGGAAGTGGACCACTACTACCTTTACGTAAATTATCCTTCTTATCATACGAAATACCCTTGTGAAGCGTTCCGTCTTGATTAGCATGCCTGTTCTATCCGAAAAGAGCTCAAAAATCCAAATAGACTACATATTAGTGGTTGTGATAGCGCAGTTTATAAGGGGAAACCTAGCCCTAAACAAATCGGAGATAAACCGACACGTAAACATAGTGACGACGTGATTTTATTACGACTTCGCTGTTCCATGGCCCTATCGGACCTTTAGCTTAGTTTCAGCCGCCCTCCTGACGAACACCTTGAAGCCAAGTTCATAGATAGCGTTTCATTAGAATCGAAGAACATACGAAAATGGGCAAGATACGTACTGACCAGAAACAGCAAAGGCCAGGAGTGCGAAAATGGAAGAAAAGAATGAGGGAAACCGTTGCATGCGCAATGGCTGGCTTGGCTAGATTCTATTTAAAGTTCAACTTATCTTCACCCGAACAACAATTCCATTGACGTCCCTAGTCAATAAGCATCTAATTCTTTGCGCAGATTCTACCTTCCTCCCATGCTTCCGAAATTCCGAAACAGTACCAGCTGTCAGAACGCTCAAGTATGATATAATCCAAGGCAAAACTAATACGGTGGGACACCTTAATTTCATGGGTAGCTAGAACACTTCATGCAAATACGTCATGACACCTCTCATAATCGATTCCATCCCCTTCGTTCGAATTCTCTTCAATTTTACCATATTAGTTGCTCGAGGCAGGAAGGTTCCAAGGTAACGCTCAAATTCAGGGCTAGGTTATAGGGAGGGGGTCGGAGGAGCTCCAGGGTGCGTATGTAATTCCTACCTTCCTCTCGCCCGTTCATCCCCACTCTAGACTATAATCCTGTCTCGCCCCACCCATACACTGTCAACACTCTGAAAAAGAAAAGTGTGAAAAAAGGTGATGGACGATTCAAGTGTCTAAGTAGCGTGAAGCAGGTCTTTACATAGTTGTTGAAGGTATCCTTCTACGTATAAGAGGAAGTTTTTGCAGTGAAATGCGCACGCTACACTCGTTAGGCGTGAAGAGAAGTGTCAAACCATATTAGTTCTGCACAACGAATGCACAGCAAAATATTAGTTCCCAAAACCTATTTAGTAATGTGAAATTATAATATACATAGTTTAGACGCTGAACAGATGGTGGATGATAAAAAGTGATAGTGTTCCAAAACGAAAGACGAGAATGAAGAGTTGACGCGCTCGAGAAAAGTAAAGGAAATGCCGAGGAACAGAACCAGGAAACCGTCGATTGAGGAGCGTCACTAGTGAAAGGGAGATGCGTGCGAAAATTTATGAAAGTACTTCACCGATGAGCTACGTGTAACACTTGCGTAATCCTTCATTTTTAGGTCTAACTAAAGCCATCACTGAATTAGAATATCGATGCGCCCTTCCCTCAGAATAGAATGCACAAAGCATTTGGTAAACGCTTTTTGTCACATTTTCATACTCGAATCAAACTTACACTATGACTACAGCATTTATATGAAACCAATCTCATGAAAAGGAAAGAAGAGGCGGCTCATTCATTAGGACGGGGGGGCGTAAATGTGACTGCAGCATGACCTATAGAACTTAGGTGCATATCGCAATAAGGGAGACATGTGTGTGTGGAGTGCACTTAGAATCGCGCTAAAGGCATTTCTTGTGGACTAAAACAAGGGAATCAGCGCTTACTGTTTGATTCTAGCTAATCTAAAAGAGTGTATCGTGACCTGTATATTACGAAGAACTTGGGACTAAGCTTTAGGGAGGGGAAAGGAATTCTGGGGAGGACGTGAGCAACCTTTGTTCTACCTGGTGTTTACTCCCCTCTCCTGGGTTTAGTCCCAATTTCACCAACCAGCTGTTTTAAATGCCCTGTTTTGAATGTCCTCTAGGAACATGAGCGCCAAAAAGAGGCTCCACACATCGCAGGAGAGGCACGCGGCAGAACTTCACGCCACCTGCTGCAGTTCCGATTTTCGCGAAGGGAATAATCCGGGATGTGTGAAAGTCAAAGCGAAATGATTCACGTACCCCGAAGCTTTCTCACTCTGCAAAAATCTGTACTGCTGTAGGCGGTACAATTGCACTACACCCCCTCCTTCAGTATGTAGACTCGAAAAAGACTTGCAGACACTAAGAACATAGCTACTCACCATAGTTATGGTAGTGTGTTAGTGAATCGGATCGCTAGCGGAAGAGCCAAGAGCGACCGAGTGGGGTCAGTGAAACGCTGAGAAGAACATTACTGATAACACGACGCTATGTTGTCAGATAATGAATACACAATCAAACGAATCGAAACACGGCAAGGACTACAGCAAAGGTTGGTAAAGGAGGAGTGCGGTAAATGAAGGTACTGTCAACAGTTTGATGACTCAAAAGATAAGCGATACCTTTTCAAAAAATGATGAAGACTATGTTCATCGCAAAAATGTCAAGGCAAGTTCCAATATAGAAAATTAAGCAAGAATTTTTGAGGAGTTGAGTTTCGATAGGTGTGCTCAAAAATAATCCGGGAAACGTCAACAGAAGACTGCACCAAAGTACGTACCACTTACAGGCACATTCCACGATAACAGATTAGAGTATCAAGGTTCAAACAAGGAACAGTAGGTGTTATGTGACTCAACAAAGAAAAAGAAGCACAGAAAACCTGTAAACAACACACTTGATAAGCCATGCTCCCTTAATGCTCTTTGATCAGCTGACAAGCTTGAAAGGAGCTCGAGGACGAAGAGTACGAAACGAGAGAGAAGGAATAAAGGGACAAGAGAGACACAGAGAAATGCGAAGCTGCAGCAGATAAGGAATTGGCAATGTTTGGAGGCTGACATCATTCTTTCTAATCCGCCTCATTGCCACAGCGACGACATTTGAGTCTCCTCTACTTCTTGATAATTTGATACGTCCTAGGAGATTTTTGCCGAAGGTACCTTTATTAAGCAGCTCACATGTTTTTGAACACCTCAAAAAAAAGAAATAATTTTTTGATGACCAAAGAGGGTATAAGGGTCCTTAAGTGACGAGTGTGCAAATGCTTTGCCACATATCCAAAAAAATGGCCCTTGATGAGTTTCCATTCACCCTCGTCTGCGTGGAAGTATGGCTCTTCGGTGAGCCACACTTCCACATAGACGAGCCTCGTCTTGTCATGCGTTTTATTTGGCAGTTTTCGTGTTCAAAAGGAGGCCTAGATACATTACTGGGTCCGAGAAATAAGAACTTGTTGTTCATGACAAATTTTTGAAAGCTAACGATACTAAAAAAAACTATGAAAAAGTGCCGGAGCGCAGAGAGGGCGGTCGTCAACGGATTAAGCAGCAAGTGTATATTACCCGAAAGTGACACGCTTGATTTGCTTGGTCAGATCAACCTGCTCACAACCTAAAAAGCTCACTCCAAACATATTTCTTTAGTTCCATCTTTGGGTAGCGTTTTCTCTTCTCGATCAGTACTGAAGTGGCAGGAGAATTGCCGCATAGCTCTGCGTTCCGGCCAAGTTCAGGTGAATCAGCATGGCCACACGACTTTCTCTTAATTCGCGCCGAACAGCCTCAATGAGGCATGCGAAAGCAAGAGGATTGCCATGTAGCCGAGTTATTAGCCGACCGAGCGAGCACAAGTCCATAGGGACCCCGAGAATGACATCACAAACCAAAGCGAGACCAGTCACTCGAGTGAGAACATGGACAAGAACTCCATTACTCCCAGTGACACAGAGGTGTAGATAGAATCAGAGTTCTGTTGTTCGGAGATGTGCAGTCACAGCAAACGAGAGTGTTCGCAGTTATCGCGCCAACAACGATTACAGTCTTAGCGTTCCAAAGACCTCGAGAACGCTTGAGCTGGAAAGCTGCAGTGCTATGCGAACCGATTATAGCTGACCAATCAAACTGGAAGTATTTGTGATTGCCGATAACAGTACTTTTACGATATGACCAATGTAAAGCTTGAAAGGAATCGTTTCAATAA